TAGAGGTTTTGCTCTGTTGCCCAGGGTGGTCTCAAACTCCCGGGCTCAAGCTATCCATCCGCCTCAGCCTCCCAAAGTGCTGGGATTACAGGCAAGAACTACCATGCCCAACCTGATATTTCTTTTTCTCACTCCCTCTTAGCTCCATAGTTTAATCACACTTAAGTGAAATTACACATAATGGTAAACTTTCCTGGGAGTTTACCATGTGCCAGGCAGTGCTCTGTGTCCTGGATATGCATCATCTCACTTAATCTCCACAATAACCCTACCAGGTGAATCCCATTATCATCCCTATTTTATGCACGACAAAATTGAGACTTACAAAGGTTTAGGAACTTACTTGAGGTTAAGCTATTAAGTAGCAGAGCTAAAATTTAAACTCGGGTCTGTTTCACTCTGCAGTGCAAGCTTTTATTCATGGGATTACTCTTCTTCTGTTCAAATGAAGGACACCTGGAAATAATGAAAACGAGCAAACCTCTCCTATCTTCTCTACCAAAGAGCTTTCACACACTTCATCAGTGGACTCTGAGATCTGCATGTTTATGGGAAAGTGATAAAGCCTGAAATGAAGGTAACAGCCTGGGCTGTTTAAAAGGAAATTCAAAACAGAATTATTGAGAAAGGAAGACATAATGCCTTACTGCACAGACATGGTAGGATTAGTATGCCCAAAAACCATCCGGTAAAAAGTGAGAGTAGCAAGATGATTTAAACAATAATCAAGACTAAGACACTTTTGCCTGTTCAATGGAATATACTATTTTGATTGATTCAACCATTTCTTCTCATATGAAACATATTCGTTAACGGCTTCCATCAATTACAGTGTATAACATTAAGAAATGAGCAAAAATAAATTCCATATGTCATTTCTTACACTTTAGCAGCTAAATTTTTTTCACAACTTCTTGACACTAACGTATGAGAAAGAAGGCCACTTTTCCCCACGAACTAAAACAGAATACTGAGTCCGTCATCAAGAGACATCGGACATTGAAAAAGATAGCAGCACAGGTTTCCAGAACTCTTCTTTGAGTAGGAAAGGCCTGGGGAAAAAAATGGGCCAACCGGTAGCAGATATCAACTCCTACAGGACATTGAGGAAAGAAGGGAGCAAAAAAGACCCTCACATACTTAGTTTTTAAATATCACAAACTATGAGAGAGTCACATTATATACTAAGAGAAGATGTAAGTATAGAGGTAGAGGTAAAAGATAAAGGAGAAATGGAGTGATTGAGAATTCACGTCAAAGAAGATGGGAGAGGGGATTGTTGGATGGATGGATAGATGGATGGGAGAATATGAATGGGTGAGTTTGATTTGGACAAAGAAGAATCACCTAGTTCCTAGGGATTGGATGGTGCATCTACAAAAAAGCCTTATGGTGGCAGGCAAAAACACTAGCAAGTTTTCAACTACTAGCCTCTACTGAATAGGAAGCATAGTTACCTGTAAAGAGTAAAGGCAGCAGTCTATGATGCTTAAAGCAAACGAGGTTGTGGGAGAGATGCTGAGAGGAATACAACAAAATTACTCAACAGAGTTGAGGGCCTGGCTGATACCAAAATACCATACTTAAATTCTACTCTAAGTAGACTCTATTATCACTTGGAATTACTCCAGCGGTCCCCTGTGGTCTGAGCGTTTCAGAGAGTGTGCGGGGCAGGGGGAGATATAGTTGGAGAGATCTACTGTTAGTGATATGTATGCAAGTATGAAAGAGGAAGGGTTAGTTTGGTGCATAGAATTACAACTGAACAGAGAAGGAACTAAAGCAAGGTGGGGGGTGATATACAAGAAGAGAAAAGAAAGAGCAAGGGGTCTAGAAAAAATCTAGATCAAAAAATAAATGCAAACCAAATCAAAGGCTGAGAAAGCGGAAAGGCTGGCAAGCTGTGATCAGAGACTGAGTTGAGACATGAGAGGTGGGGTTGTTCTAAATGATTCCAGATTACAGGGGATGACTGTAGAATAGAGTTCCTAGAGAGGAAGTAACAATAAGGACATCAAAACCGGGTCAACTGAAGAAACGTGAGACCAAATTGCCTGGATGACAAGAGTTACAATGGGGACAACAATGACTAAAACAGGCTGCCAATGTCCTCACTGCACATGGGGACTGACCAGATGGTCCATAGGAAACAGGAAGAAGAGGGGAGAGAAACAGTCAGATACAAATAATGAGTGCCTTAATGCCTGGGACTGTGGCACGGGAGGCTGAATATCTCAGAAGCCGTGCTGAGGAGCTCAGAAAATGGAGTAAGATGCCAACCATCTCTCTGGGTTGTAGTCCTTGAGGCTCAGGAATACAAGCACATAGCATTATCATCACAGAGACCTTCCCCCCAACATCATATGAGTCGCAAGACCCTCGTCCCAGCCAGCGTCCTTAGCCATTAACTCTTCTCTCATTAGCCTCACTGTCACTTTCACAGCTTTAAGTATCACCTCCACATGAGTAACTTCCAAGTTTATGTCTCTAACCTTACACTCTCTCCTGTTAGCAGCTCTGAAGCTCTAAATAGCCTTCAGGATGTATTTTCCTAGACTACTGGCCATTAATTCACACTCAAATCAAAAACTCAAGAAAGCCAGCATGTTTCCCCCAAAACTCTCAGCTCCAGTTTTTCCTATTTTTCCCACTAATCTAGATGGAAAACATGGTGCCATTTTTTACTCCTTCCACCACTTTCTTACTCACATCTATACAAGTTGCACCAGTTATTCCTTTGTGATGCCTCTAAGGCCATCCTTCCTCTTACGCTTCACTACCATTCCCCTAATTCAGGTCCACATAGCTGAATATGTGTTATTACAAGAGACTCTGAACTTTCCTACCTGATTTCCCTCCTTCTTTCTAGTTTTTCTACTAATTTAAGATGACTCCTCCTAAAATGTTACTTTTCACATGTCAAGCTCTATTCACAAACCTCCCATATCTCCCATGTATTTCCATAATAATAAAGACCAAACTCTTTGCTGAAACACTGACATCTCCCATGTCTCCAAAACGGCCTCCTATTACTTCACTACAAGAACCAGACACACCGTGATTATTCCAATTCCTCCTATCCCCATGGATTACATAGATTTTCAATTAATTCACATTTACGATTATATTTACCTGATCTACATTCACTACAAAGCATGTATTTCGATTAAATGAAGATTTTAATTCAGTAAGATTCAAATAACCTGGCATTTGTAAAAATGATTTAGCATAATTTCCCTAATGGGCTATGAAAATATAAATCACTTCCACAGTTGATCACTTGTAATTTATAGTTTAAAAGGTGAAGGGACCATTGATAGACGTCTGGAGTTTAGTTGTTAGTGAAATCAATTTATTGTAAGATTTCAATCCTCAAAGAAGGAAAATCTTACTGATCACAACTTTCTGAAGTCCATCCTAAGTGGTTCTCTTTTGGAGAAGATCATACCCAGAAATGCATTACACATTCCTACATACACACAAAATGTTCAGCTACAGTGGAATGCATCCATGACAGGTTGTAAATAAAAATATATATAACAGAGAATCCCTGATCTACTGAATAAAGAAAACTTTCCCACCTATAAAGCTCTATATACCACTTTCTACCATGAAATACTAGTTATCTCCAATCCTTACATCCATGTGGTGATATGAACTTTTTTTTAATGAACTGCTGGAAATATACAGGAAGAGATTATAGAAAGGCAAGGAGTGAGGGGAAGAGAGAGTCTTTGGGAATGCCTCTACCACAATGAGTGTGGGGTGGCACAAGAGAAAAAAAGAAAAAGAGGAATTGTCAGGAGAGAGGCAGAATGTAAGGAGATAATGGGCAGTGAAAAAGATGCATGCAAGAAAGAGGAAGTGGTCAGCAGTCCAAAATGCTTCAGAGAGCATGAGGGAGGTTATGACTAAGAAAAGCCCACTGGATTTGAAAGAAACATAGATACACGCCTCTTGAGAGGCAGAATTTAGTACAGTGATGGGGGAAGGTCAGAACACATGGAGAAGGGGTGATCAGCAAGTGGGAGCCAGGCACATGTCATTCATTCACAAGGACTGACAGAGAAGGGAAGGAGATGGAGCACACAGCACTATAAGCTCTGCTAGCAAGCACCTTGCCTGTTTTGCTCGTTGCTGTCCCCAGCACCAAGAACAGTTCCTGGCATGTAATAGATACTCAGTAAGTATTTGTTGGTTGGATATTGTTGAACTCAATCAATGTTATTGAATTCAATGAATATTGTTGTTTAGATAAATAAATGAATTAATGAATAAATATAGTACTTGTATTTGAGGGAGTATGAAAGAATACTCTTCATGGTATCACATGTAATTCAGGTCTCAATGCTGGAGTTATACTTAGTACAGACTAAGATCTGGTTATAAGATAAAAGCTGTGAATGCAGCTAACATCAGACTTAGTGTAGGGTGGACGATGGATATCTTGTCTAGAGGTTGAAGTTAATCTTTTTGACAATTATCTGAGCGAAAATGGAATCTTTCAGACCAAACATGAGAACTGAAGGAAAACCTCTGGGTGTCTGCAGAGTGGAATTCCCTCTCTGCCTTGACCAAGAAGGCAGCAAGAGATTGAAAGGAACTCCTGAGGGGTGGATTGTTAAGAAGAGGCTCTCCGCCTAAGACAGACAGGGACTGAGTTATTAGGAAGTTCAGATGAGTATGTACAATGTTGTAAAAACCTTTTGCAGCTAGAGGTTATCTATCTCAGTTTGCTAATGGTTCTTGTCCTCTGCATTAATTCCCTCAGTTCTGTCTCATGCTTAAAGTCTTTGAAAAGGTCTCCTCTGGGCATAAGAATGTAAGAGTTCAGCCAGCACTCGGAGAGGGGAGGGTGGCCAGCAGCACCATGGTGCCAGCAGGAGGAGCAACTAGAGTGGAAGGACCCCAAACACTGGGGATGTGGAGTAACCACTAAGACAACTTGAAGTTTAAGGGTTTGTTTTTATCAGATGACATGGTATTATCTTACAGGAAATCTAGGAAAGATTTTGTTTTTCCTGTATTTCATTTTGTTTTTGTTTATTTTTGACAAAGGCAACTTGAGCAGATATAAGCTATAAAGGAGGAAAACTTCTAGATAGCAACAGAAAGAAGGTACAGTTATAAGGAATGTATGTGATGTCATTAACAAAACCCTGGAACACAGGAGGGGTCATGAGATTCAAAGGCAAGATGGAGGAGATGGTTTTTGCAAAGTGGTATAAAGAAAGATTGAGAGGGTAGAAAGAAGGAAGACGCTTCTTTGAATCTCTTATGGAAATTAGGGGGGTAAGTCAGCTACAGGCGTATGGAACACAGGAAGTTCATATAGCTGCCTTGGAGAGGCCACCAGAGAACCCAGTGACTAAGAAGCTTTTGCAAATCTCGAGGGGCTAGATGGCTGGAATGTCCAGAAATTCCAGTCAGCACAATTTAATGCTGTCTGCAGCAATACTTGGCAACCTGGAAAGGTTTGTTGCAATTGTTGGAGGTACAGTCCTACATGTAAGCCAAGCTCAGCTCACCATAATGGATCTGCCACATAGGCAGTCATAACAATGGGATAAACTCACACCTCATAGAAGAATCATCTCACGATGATAGAAACAACTCTAAAGACAGGCTTTAATCAAAACAGTCATAATGAATCCACCCTGCTTATTTTCCTTCCAATGGAGCCAAGTTGTACTATTCATACCAAGATCTTCAGGGAGTTCTAGGTGGAAGGAATCTTAGAAGTCATCTAGTCCAACCTGGCACCTATTATGACTTTCATTTTTAGAAATCCATGGAAGAAACTATCAGTGGGCACTGGCATACCCGGCTCCTCTACATTTCTCCGCCTCCTGTGCAGTACATCTGAGGCTGCATGGCTGAGCCCTGGCTAATGTGACATTGGTGGAATTCGTGTAAGTCACTCCCAGGCCTGGCTGTCTCACACGGAGGAGAAACAGCCAAGTTGCATCACATCAGACTCTGCTTGAGAGAGAAATATACTTTGATAATGTTAGTCACTAATATTTGTGGATTTGTCTGTTTTGTCAGCAAGCATTAATTCATATCAAGCCACTTTTTAATAATCTAGCAACTCAGAGCTGTCAATCACTGTAAAGAAAGGGATGGAGATTATTATCACCCATATACCCAAAAGATTAAAATGGTGGAAGCAGTCATGAAACCCATTTTTACTTTGCAGTAGCACCTCACTTATCTGAAGGTTATTATTTGAGACATAACTTGCAAAGCTAAAACCTGAACTCCCTAACTGAGAACCAGAAAGTAAGCAGCAAACATCTTAAAACAACTCAGGGTGAGAGCAAAATAAAGCTTTAGAGTTTCATTCCCTGGTAAGCTCTTCAGGCTAGATTTATTTACTCAAGTTATTTCAGAGTAAATAAATCAATCTTGAAAATTTGATTATCTCCTATCAAATAAGAAATAGGAAATTGGCCAGGCACGGTGGCTTATGCCTGTAATCCCAGCACTGTGGGAGGCTGAGGTGGTAGTACAACTTGAGCCCGGAGTTCGAGACCAGCCTGGGGAACATGGCTAGACCTCATCCCTACAAATTATTTAAAAATTAGCCAGCCATGTTGGTGCATGCCTGTGCTCGCAGCTACTTGGGAGACTGAGGTGGGAGAATCAATTTACCCTGTGAGGTCCAGGCTGCAGTGAGCCATGATTGTGCCACTGTACTCCATTTTGGGCCACAAAGCGAGAGCTTGTCTCAAAAAAATAAAATAAAAAATAAACAAATAGGAAATATGAAGCAAAAAAAAAAAGAATGGCCTGGAAAGGGGCAAAACATGCCATTCTGATAGTGAAGGAGAGATCAGGAAAACCGTAAAAGGCAACACACCCAAATCAAAAAGCAGTGTACGGTGCTCCATTTTATAAAGGATAATTGAGCCCCGCTGCCCTTCAGAGTCCTGAAAGCATCATGGAAGGAGCTCAGCTCACACCTGATGTTAACTAATAAAGATGACTTCAGTCTTCCGCCAACCTTTGTAAGCTTCGAAGGAAGGTAGGATAACATGTAGGAAGTCTCTGGAAATAGTAACTCAAAACAGTGTCTGTGTATACAGACATACACTTGGTCATTTGAAAAATTCACTTATGAGAGTTACCTTATTCCCTAGGTTGCCTCATAAAGCTGTTAAATTATACATATATATGAGACATTGCTGGGTGTGGTGGCTTACCCCTGTAATCCCAGCACTTTGGGAGGCTGAGGAGCGTGGATCACCTGAGGTCAGGGGTTGGAGACCAACCTGGCAAACATGGTGAAACCCCATCTCTACTAACAAAAATACAAAAATTAGCCAGGCATGGTGGCAGGCAGGAGAATTCCTTGAGCCTGGGAAAAGGAGGTTGCAGTGAGCTGAGATTGAACCACTGCACTCCAGCCTGGGCAACAGAGTGAGACTCAGTCTGAAAATATATATATATATGTGTGTGTGTGTGTGTGTGTGTGTGTGTATACATATATACATATATTTATATGATATGATGTAAGACATTGCCAATTGGAAGAGGTCTGATTTAGAATGGGTGGTTCCTCCTCAATATATTTAGGTGCACACATCCAGCATGAAAGAAATCAGGTTTCAATAAGATAAATCAAGATCTAAAAGTCAAGTTAAGTCGAAAGGACCTTAGAGATCATGTAGCCAAGACCCTGTCAAAAAAAGTTAGGTGACTAGAGGGCATCGTTCATCTCACTATAGAGACGGAACTACAGCCAGTCTTGTATTTGAGAGCCGGAATATTTTCCTGCACATCACAATTTCCTAGGCCAACTCACAACCCCTTCCATGCCTTCCCAAGCCTTCAGATTGGCCCACAGGCCTGATGAACTCACCTGCAGAAAGCAGTGTCCAACCGGGGCATGCTCTGCAATGGTGGCATTGTACACCTGCCTCCAGAAGATGGGTTCATTATCATTCACATCATCCACGGTGATGCTCACCAGGCAGGTGGCAGAGAGCGGGGGCTCTCCGAGGTCCCGGGCCACCACTCTCAGCTCCACCGCCTCCTGGACCTCTCTGTCTAGAGTCCGGATAGTGCTGATCACACCGCTTTCGGGATCAATGGCGAAAGATGGTCCACACTCTGCGGCGGGCAGAGCCTCTGGATTGCAGGGAGCTGAGAGTTGGACTAGCGTGTAGCGCAGCCAGGCGTGCTCAGTGCCTGCCTCGTCAGCATCGGAGGCGCTGACCCACATGACTACAGTGCCGGGGGCCGCAGCCTCGGACACTGAGGCCTTGTAATGCTGTTGGCTGAAGAGAGGTGGTTGGTCATTGAGGTCAGCGACCCGGAGCAGCAGCGTTTCCTCCGTGCTCAGCGGCGGGGACCCCGCGTCCGTGGCCACCAGTAGTAACTCATACAGATCGCGGCTCTCTCTGTCCAGGAGCCCCACGACGCAAAGGAAAAATACCCCTGGGGGGCCGCCGGGCCGCAACGCGAAGGTTCCCTCTCCGCCTTCCAAGGACAGCGAGATGCTCCGGTCTCCAAGACCCACACTAAGCTCCCCGGTGGCCTCATCTTCTTTCTCCCAGTCACGGTCCGCATCAGACACCGAGACGCGAGCCACGTAGTCGCCCGGTCGGGCGCCTTCGGAGACACAGGCGAGGCCTCCCTCTGTGAGAAAGAGCACGTGAATTGCTGGCCGGTTGTCATTCACGTCCAGCACGGCGATGGACACGCGCACTGTGGCAACCTCAGGTTCGGCACCTCCATCGCGGGCCTCCACCACCAGCTGGTGCCAGGCCTGAGCCTCGCGGTCCAGAGGTCTCCGCAATCGCACCACGCCACTCAGCTCCTCTACGGCGAAGTAGGCCGCGTCGCCCAGTGCCCCGCCCCCGCTACCCGCCCCGGGCACTTGCCGGGCGCGGATGCTGTAGCGCACGAAGCCATTGGGCCCCAGGTCGCGGTCGGTGGCGCGCACGCGGCAGACCTCGGCGCCCGGCTGGGCGTCCTCGCGCACCGCTGCGCGGTACTCGTCCTGCTCAAAGACCGGTGGGTTGTCGTTTTCATCCAGCACGCGCAGCTCCACGCTCAGGCTGCCGGTGCGCCGCGGGCGGCCGCCGTCCCATGCCTCGATCTGCAGCCGGTGCGCCGCAGCCTCCTCTCGGTCCAAGCGCCGCAGCAGCACCAGGTCTAGAGGCTCCAGGGGCGATGAGGAGCCCGGCAAAAGCGGTGACGGTAGTGGCCCCGGAGTCCCGTAGCGCAACTCGAAGAACGGGCCTGCGGGGTCATTGGGCGGGTCGGACGGTTGCACCAGGGTGTAGCCCTGAGTGCTGAACAGTCCGGCGTCAGGGTCATGGGCACCTGGCAGGCGGAAGGCGGTCCCTGGCGGGCTGAGCTCGGAGACGTCGAGTTGCAGGGAGTCGAATGGAAAGCGGGGCGAGTGGTCATTCACGTCGTTGACGCGAATCTCCACCTGCACCACAGCGCCCAGCAGCGTGGCGGCCACGAAGCTGTAGTGGTCCCGCAGCTCGCGGTCCAGGCGCCGCGCGGTGCGGATGATGCCGGTGTCCGGGTGCACGTGGAAGTCGTCCAGCAGCGGGGAGTCATCCGAGTCCTCGGACAGAAAGAAGCCGCTCCCCTCCTGCTGCTGCGCGGCCGGCAGCCCGGCGCGGATGTCACCGACCAGCGTGTCAGGGGGTAGCCCCTCATCTACGGAAAGGGTGAGGTTGAACAACTGGGCAGATGAGCCCGAGGCCGCCCACAGCCACACGTGCACCGAGAGCCAGAGCAGGGAGCGCTGCGTCCTGGCGCTGCTGCTGCCTGACCACCCATGGGGTGTATCTCTCCTCCCGGGGAACAGAAGGCGCTTCCCGACGGGAGCCCCCCGCTGCTGACGCCCCTCGCCCATCTTCCGCCCACAAGGGCTCATTTCTCCGCCAGCTCCTTGAGAAGGCTCTCGAGTAACTGCCAGCTTGTGGCGGGATCGCAGAAAAATCCAGGAGCCTCTTCAGTGTCTGAGCCAGAGAAGAAAAGACTTTGTTTGACAAACAAACCGACGGACCCAGGAATTCCCGAGGTTACATCTGCAACTGGTGAAAGCGTCCTCTGCCTGCAGCTCACGCAGACAGGGAAGCTCTAGCTGCCTCTGCCGCGGCAGCCACCTCTTCTGCCCCTGGATTTCCTTAAACGAGTCTCATCTCTTTTTCTCTCTCCTTTTATTCCTTTTACATCTGTTCCTTGTTCTACTCGGCTGGTTGTTCCCCCTGGTAAAGTCAGGTGCATTATTTCTCTTGCCAAAAAGGAGGAGATTATTTGAAGCGCGCACACACAAGGAGAGGATGGGGATCGGGCCGGAGTAGGGGGTGGAGTAAGGGCGGGGAGGCTGGGAGTTAGGGCGCTGGGGAGGAGGGAGGGAGAGAGAGGGGAAAGGAGGGCTGCGGCCCTGTCCGCTGCTCCGGGGGCGGGGCGGCTGTTCCCCGCGGCGTCTCCGGGCGCCAGGGACCGCGCGACTCCTGCACCGACCCAGCCTCCTCCGCCTGCCTTCCCCTCCCCGCCGTGTGACGCGGCGCACACGAGGGCAAACTCCAACCTGCGAGCCGTGCTCTGCAGCAGGGCGGAAGAGGAGCAAATGCAAAAGCACTGGGAGACGTGCTCCGCGGGGCGGGTGGGGGACGTGCAGGCGGGGCATCTGCCTGGGCTTAGCTTGCCAAGTGATGATGGGTGCGGGGAGGTTAGGGGAGCGGCGTCTCCGCGGCCTCCCCCTCAACCCCCTTGACCGTCCCTCAGCAGGCCTGACGCTTGGCTCGCGCTCAGCCGAGAAGGTAGGGGTTATCGTCACTTTGGGGTGCCAAACTTGTGTTCTCCATTTGGCGAGAGGGACTCCTGTCCGCAGCGGAAGGACAGATGGAGTCAAAGGCCGATGCACAGCTGGGGCCAGGATGGCTGCAAAGGGGAGAAGGCGGAACTTGGAAAAACCTTCCAGAAAACCCGAGAAATCTGTGGCACACATGGTGCAAACCACACTTTATTATGCCGCGCTACTACTCAGCGACGTGTGAGCCTCTAGTCACTCCCCTCTGCCACCAGGAATGACGACAATATATACGCCCTGAGAACGCTTTTTCTACATTCAGCGCCATCATAACACTTCCAGGATGTTTGACGATGCTGATTGATGAGCAGAAAGCCCCGATGACTGGCACGCCGCAAGCCCTCAGCGCTCCACCACCACCCCCAGGCAAGGAAGTTTGCAAGCAGGACCACTCTACAGATACCACTTTCAAAACTCGCTTCTGTCTGAGCCGAACGCAAATGCCAATAAATGGCCATAGTCGCAGATTTCCCTTCAGTTAACCATAATAATTGGTAGAAACCGATCAATGACCTCTAATAAAGCATGCGTGAGAAAGGACTCTCTGGACTCAAGAATGGCTGGCCATATTTAGCAAATGGTTTCTGCAATTTTGCATTTGAGCCAGATAGAAGAATTAATTTCCTAGATACTGTTTCTCTCCTTTAGGGAGGACCAAAAGCCCTGCATAGTGGTTTCTTGCAGCAACAATAAAATGCCTTTTTTAATGTGCAATGGAGTTATATATAATTGCTAATCCACAGCCACACCGTTATCTCTACCTATGACCAAATAACAATAAAATAATTGACTTTGTAGCAGATATGTTGCTGTAAATGGGGACATTATTAAAATAGTTTTAATGGTTAAAACTCTCTTTAACCATTAAAGAGATTTGTTACGTCTTTAGAGTCTTTTAATCTTCAGTCTGCATTCGCACCCTAACTAGTCCCTCACCCTCCACTCTTGCCCTTGTATAAGTAATTCTTTTTTGTTTTTGCTATTGTTGTTGTTGTTGTTGTTGCTGTTGTTGTTTTCTGAGTCAGGATCTCACTCTGTTACCCAGGCTGGAGTGCAGTGGCACAATCATGGCTCACTGCAACCTCTGTCTCCTGGAATCAAGTGATTCCATCACCTCAGCTTCCAGAGTAGCTGGGACTATAGGTGCTCATCACTATACCTGGCAAATTTTTATTTTATTTTATTAATTTGTTTATTTATTTTTTGTAGAGATGAGGTCTCACTATATTGCCCAGGCTGGTCTCAAACTCCTGGGGCCAAACAATCCTCCTGCCTAGGCCTCCCAAAGTGCTGGGATTACAGCTTGAGCCACAGCAACCGGCCTATAAGTAATTCTTGAACAAGCATCTGGATTAATGTTTTTAAAGTTGTCTCAAATCATATTACCTCCTGCTTAGAACCTGAAACGACTCCACTATACTTAGATTATAATTCAGACTCCTTCAATCAAAGTCCTTTTAATAGTACAGGATCCTATCCATCTTTCTGACCTTGCCTCATACCACCACTCTGGACTCGGCCATCTGCCTTCTTTTTGATCTTGTACCTTTGAATTGTTAGAACTTTCCATGCCTCGGAGTTCTTTTTTCTGCTTTGGAAAGATCTAGCTCGTTCTCATTCAGGTCTCAACTCCAATGCCCTCTGTTAGGAAAGATCTTCCCTAATCACCCTGCCTCAGATAGCCTTTCCACTATAAACCCTATATCCTTTCAGTATATTTCATTCACAGCACCTATCAGCATCTGAAATCAACTTGCTTTTTTCATCTGTTTATTAGATTATCACAACCTCAAAACCCTCATTCTGCTTTATCTCAGCACCTAGAACAGTACCTAGCATGTAGTGTGTCTCTATTTACTAAATATGTGTTGGACAGATGGTTGGCTGAACCTATGGGTAAGTGAATGGATTTGTCTGTTAAAGTAGAAGTTTGAAGCCATAACCAAGAATGAATTGGCCATGAGAATCTTCACTGTGATGAATTCTATCTTTGCAATCTTACTCATCTTAATTATTTCATAGGGCTTCTTCAACTTATTTTTCAGCCTCATCAACTTACTTTGTAAACCATTGTATGAGTCTGTTCTTGCATTGCTATAAAGAACCTGAGACTGGGTAATTTATAAAGAAAAAAAGTTTAATTGGCTCATGGTTCTGCAAGCTGTACAGGAAGCATGGCAGGATCAGCTTCTGGGGAGGCCTCAGGAAAGTTACAGTCATAGCAGAAAGCAAAGGGGAAGCAGGCAGGAGGAAGAAAATGAATGGGGAGATGCTATACACTTTTAAGCAAACACATCTCATAAGAATTCACTCACTATCATGAGGACAGCATCAGGGGATGGTGCTAAACCATTCATGAGAAACTGCCTCATGAACCAGTCACCTCCCACCAGGTCCCACCTTTAACATTGGGGATTACCATTCAACATGAGATTTGGGCGGGGACACAGATCCAAACCATATCAACCATATTGTTAACAAATATTTACTTGAGTCTAAAAATAAAGGAAAAGAAGCATCTTTTACTGCATCTTTCACTGACACATTCTTTGTAAACAGTGGTTTAGTTTAGAAACAGTGGAAGACAAATGGAAAATCAAGAACTTCAGACATCTATTTTCCCATTAGTTCTAAAGCTTTATATTTCAAGCATGTGCAATTCAAGGTCTCCTGTCCATTTCACAATTACCCTTCATTGAAAGTCCTGAATGTCCTTAACTATAGAATTAAGAATTCAATTTTGTAAAGTAAGAGAAATAAGAGCATTTCTCAGATATGTGAAAAATAATTTTAGATAATACAGAAGCCAACAGCCTGCAAGAAATAGGTCAAGGTCTGATCCTTATAAGGGAAGCATCATGGTGTAACTGGCCAGAGTTTTAGCTCTGAAGTTAGAAAACCCTTATTCTGCTCTATAATTTGGGGCAAGTTATTTAAATCTTAAGCCTTAGAGTTTCCTCCTTTCTAAATTGGGGATGATACATCTAATTTACAGGAATGCCATGGGCCTTAAATGAGGCAATATATGTGGATTGGTACATAGAATGCATGTGGTAAATAGTAGTTTTCTTGCCTTCTGTTGTTTGTATGATGAAATGTTTTAGGAGTGAATTATTTTGGAATTCTCAGTAATATTAAACTCTGACTTCTTAGCCCCCCAGAGTGTGTGAAGGGGAAGGATATAAAATTCCCACTATCTAGCTGGATACAGTGGCTCACGCCTGTAATCCCAGCACTTTCAGAGGCCAAGGCAGGAGGATCGCTTGAGTCCAGGAAGGAAAAACCAGCCTGGGCAATGTGGCAAGACCCTCTCTCAACAAAAAAAATTAAAAATAGCCAGGCACGCTGATGCATACCTGTAGTCCCAGCTACTCAGGAGGCTGAGATGCCAGGATGGCTTGAACCCAAGACATTGAGCTGTGTCATTGCCACTGCACTCCAGCTTGGATGACAGAGTGAGAGCCCATCTCAAAAAAAAAAACAAAAAAAAAACCTCAAAACTCTCCAGTATTGTAAACAGAAACTTTGGACAAAAAGGCTCAAGGCATTTCTTCATTTTGTGCTATGCAGTTTAAGTAATACAGGAAGTCCATCTTCAGAAACATTTTCTCACAGACTGTAGGTAGCCCTCAGCTCTGTAATAATTTAAATAGTGTAGTTACTAAGTGCTCAAAGCAGTGTTCAAAGCACCTCATATCAACCTTTTAGGAAAGGAGTCATAAAAAGTATTCTCATCTTACAGATGAGAAAACTGAGGTTCAGGAGCATTACAAGTCATGTGACCAAAGTCCCACAGGTAGTAGAATTGGAACCTGAACCCAGTTTTACTCCAGTGTTCATGATGTTCACTGGTCATTTACTGTCTTCATGATTTTCTTTAATAAGATTTCTTCTGAATTCTTTATAAAATCAGTACAGTGATAAAGTGAGTTTTGGAAAGACCTGGGAGAACTACAGAAGGAGGAACTTGTGAGCATGTTAGTGGAAGTGGTGGGGAGGCACAAGAGGATAGTCACAAGTCAGTACTTGAAAATGCAGCAACAACAAAAAAACCAACTCCGTACTTAGAAATGGTACTTAAAGGCTAGTAACGAGAATCCTGTGACATGGAGGGTTCCTTCCCAACTCCTCACCCATGGAGCTGGTCCTCTGAGGGTTAAGAAGGGTGCATGACAGCAGGAAGTCCCCATACTCCCTTGACTCACATGCCATCTTTCCGTAAATGTTTGAACCAGAGTGTTTGGAGCTTGTGATGGTTAAATGTGATATGTCAAGTTGGCCAAGGCTACGGTGCCCACATTGTTTGGTGAAACACTGGTCTAGATGCTGCTAGGAAGGTTATGTCATGCTGGGAAGAACCCTAACTAATATAGAGCTTTGTGGAAGTGGAGATGATTTAGTATTTAATAGTATGGCCAGTATTTAGAATCTACATATATTTTGTGTTCTTAAAGTTTTTGAAATCAAAAT